GCTTGCTTACTAAGGGGTGCCTTCATGCAGCGTTGGCAGCTACCGCTAGGCGCCTGCAGCCGCTGCCAGCAGCTTGTAGTCGCCGCTAGTCGCTTTTTTCGATATTATCCTGGAAACGTAAAATTATCATCAGATTTTTGCTAGCTCTAACGCATTAACCTACGCTTCTCATCTCCCATGTTTTATCCTAATTCTCGCTAAAGTGTTCTTTGACTCACACACATTATCTTTGTTGTTGTCACTATCTTACTGCCGCGGACTGGATATGCCGTGTTGCTCAATTTCGCCGTTTGTTTCGAACTATTTCGCAAATTTGCTCAAATTTATCCGCTGTAATTCAATCCGAATATAGATGCGTGCAATGTTTCCAAGTTTTTTTGTTTTTTTTTGTGTGAAAAAGCACTAGAGACTTTTGCCCCACCTTGTAATACGTTCTTTAGTCTAAAGTCCTTCCTGTAATTATTCATCCAAAATTCTACGAGGAATTCTTACCACGTATCGCAAAAATGACACGTTTCATTTTGACATGTTTTTTCAGAAACTATTTCAAGTGAGTTGAAAGAGTGTATTTACCTGGAAGGTGTTCAGCTGTTTTTTATAAGAGCAAAACAATCTTGAACTCATCTCAGAACTCTTGATTGTTTTCAGCAGTGATTCAGGTGACTTTCTCTTCAAAACCTTTTCGCCATGCAAATTTAGTCAAAAAGACTATAAATAATAGCTTGAAGAACTTTGCTGCTGTTTTTCGCCTCTCAAATGACGAAATTTTAGCGCTAGTGTGTTCGTCAATAAAAGCGTGCTATTATTATCAAGGCAATGTTTATTTTGAGATTGTTTGATCGAAATAAGGTCAAAATTGATTAAAAAAGCGATTGAGCTTACGTCGCTAGGTAAGGTAAAACAGACCCAACACCTGTTGAACATCTGGATAGCATGCCAATTTTTTTGACACGTGGCAGAAGGTTGACACTCCTTCCTGTAAAGCTGGAACCAAATTAGGTATATGGATAGAAGCATTGTCTTTCTTTGAGAAAATGGGTCCGAATAACGGAAAAGTACCAAATATTCTTGTGAACCTTATAAGAAGTCTATAAGGTTATAAGGACTTTATAAGGACTCAAATTACTGTTCTTGTTCCTTTTTTGATTCCGATTTTGGACGTCTGGAGAGCTTGTCAGGCAGACGCCATCTTGCGCTTGATCCACTTTACTACTGCCCAAAATACTAACTACTGGCTAAGCAGGATACTAAATATGGCGGTCTGAGAGTGGAAGAAGTGGTTGACTCTACTTTCCTTCATTCAAACCTAATCTTGTCGCCGGTCACCAATTTTAGAAAATATTGCTTTGACAATGGATTACACACATGTTCAGGGTTCAAGGCAGCGTTCGGGGGGCAAACCTGGACACATCGGTATCGCAAGTGAGAACTGATTCTGAGAGTCTAACTAAGACACTTCCCAAGCGGTAGCGCAAATGATGCATGCACGGCTAATATATTCGTTCCCAAATCCGACACCGCTACCGTATCTGGTGACGACTTGCACGGTTGCCTGCTATTGCGTCGCGACCCACCGCCCGTAAATGGTCTTCAAAACTTCACAAGGCGATGCAAGCCGTCTTCTAGGTACATTACCGGGACAAGTGCCTGGACGTGCCTTTAGAGAAAGGCAAATTTTTGGGATTGCATGCAATGATTTTTCCGTCGCGGAAGGGATCGCAACTTAAAAGGAGGATTTATATCCCGAAGCTTCAGATGAATTCTAAGCTGTTTTTACCAATTCATAAGTATGTCTACTGTCCCTAAGATATAAAAGAAGCGCATTGTATTAGGTTGTTGCAAAAATAATGTCCGTTTTGCAAAATTTCACTTTGAAAGTAATAACTTCGTTCAGTCTTCATATTTTTGAATGCAATCAAGACCATCAGATGCAGTAAACCTTTCGTAATCTAAGGCGTACCTGCATTTACTGATATCGCAAACGGGAAGAAAACCATGCGTCAGAAAACCAAAAGTTTTGCTTTTGAAAACCTCGTTTTTGAAAGATTACAAAGTCCTTCAAGTTTTGTTGTTATGGCCGCTAATCAGCTTATTTTGTAGACGCAACCCAGTACCATATGTTTGTATAAAAAGAACTTTAGCGAAGAAGTTCTGCGAAATGAATAAGATAGAAATTCAAAATTGTTCACTTTTTTAAGCCTATTTGTGATAGGCTTGGAAGTCCCAAACTACGAAAACTTGGAATTCTTCAGGCACTGAATAGCTAAGTTTTTCTGCAAGAATTGTAGATAAAATGTCCTGACCTTAAGCCTAGAGAAATGAGCGAAGTTTCAGCGATTGCCCTAATCAGGGAAAATTTCGAACCCATAAAGTTCCAGGCAGCGAGTATCTTTTTTGAAGCTCGATTTGTCAGTTTAGGTATATTCGAAAGACTTATTTAAACATGCAATAAATAAGCAATATTATTTATCCTATACAGTAGCTATGTTTTCAAAAGAATTCGTTTATTTGCGCCCGAATTGCGGCCAAGAAAGTTGGAGCAATGAAATTTCGATTTTGAGTGCGGCAGTGCAAAATGCTGATGAAAATCTTACAGATGAGATAAAAGCTTAATTTCACCACCATTAGAAAGTACATGAAGAAAGCTTTCCAATGATGTGCAGAATCTGTATCGAAAAAGAAAGCCTGAAGGAGAAAAGTTGTTTGGAATATACGCCTAGAAAAACGGACATTATTGCAACAACCTAATAGAATACCCAAAGTCCTGTGGAATATCCAACCAGGCAATGATAATCAGTTTCTAACGAAAACAGCTGAAGTACAGGAGGAAAATCTCGGTGGACCACAAATCGAAAATTGGATATTATCCAAAGCCTCTTAAATTCTTGATAACTTATTCGTTCACGATAGAAACATGCTTAGCACTGTGTGTTAAATGATTAGTACAATTCTAAACTACATTGACTCCAGTGAAAAAAATTGGTCTTGAAGAAAAGAAATTTGGCCGCTGGCGATCACCAGGGAATCGTACAAAAATCTGGTAAATTGACCAAGGGAAGGATACTTGGTCGAAGTGGCGTCTCCAAATGAAATATACGCCCTTCTTATACAGCATAAAACGCTGATTTCGAATCTGCCTTCGTTATCTGCAATGCGTTTCTGTGAGGGGGTTATGGTGACTTTTGAAGGAGAGATACTTACTCTCGGTTACAGTATAATCATTCAGAACCGTGGTCTGTGATAATCGGGCCAAGACTACTGCCAGAACGCTTTATGCAACTAATATCTTCAATCTGATAAACTCATACTTATCATTATTGCTTTCATGCGCCCCAAGGACCTCAACATTTGTATTTACCTTAGCCAAACCCTTAAATTTACACTTCAAAAATTCCTAAATTCATAAATCTTCTCCCAGAAGCGTTTTGCAGGTGTAGAAAAAAACAGATTTGGAATTAGCGTTCCATTTATATCTATACCTGGCCATATATAAAGCTGAGTGTTGGTAAATTGTTAGTTAGTGTGTTTTTTATTGAAATTTTTGTGTGTGGACCGATCAGTGCCAAACTTCGCACATATATGTTTTCGACACCGGTCCACCCCGTAGGCCTCGGACAGAGTTCACGCGATTTGATCGCCGAGATTTTCATTCATTTTCATTTTCATTTTACATTCGAAAATTTCGGGCTGGAAAAGTCACAACCGAAATGCAAGCCGATCGGCATGCAAAGAACTCGTAACAGTTGTCTTGTAGCGATTAAGTCGGTACGCAGCATCTCAAGCTATTAATAATGAGCGAGTTTTAATTTACGTTGAACGCTGTACAACATAAGAATTTTTTGATTAACATTCTGAGTACATTATCAAAAGCGCTATTTCACACGTTAGTTGATAATCAACGGATCGGGTAGGTCAGTAGGAGTTTAGTGACCTGGCTGTTTCCAACGAGTCTTTTGCAAAGTCCGATGACAACGTTGGAACACCGCAGGAGTAGAGCGCGCCCGTGTGATCAAATTTAGATTCAAATGGGAACACTTACCTAATAGACGGGAGATTGATACATACCGTTTCTGGATGGCTTGTTAGGCAAACGACGTACTTGATTTGCTTAACAGACTCAAGTCACCTCACTAGCTAAAATTGGTGATTTGACTGAAAAAATCAAGTACGGCATGGTCTGAAAGATTGCAGGGCGTGGTTGGTTCTACTTTCCTCCATTTATAACAAATTCTATGCGGCTCACCAAATTCAGGAAAATTTTGTCGGATAACCGCTAACACACACTAGTTTAAGATCGAAAAAATGCACACTCTTGGGTCAGCATCATACTTCCCGTCGGAAACGGGATCGCTATCTACGAAAGTTTTATGTACTGGCTCCAATATCTGATGTCACGCTCTCCATCCGCCTATAAGTGCTTTCACTTCTTCACTATAATCATATCGAAAAGGAGCACATTGCTGTATAAACTGCGCTTTCTAGATTCTTGTATGAGCCCTTGGCTCACGGCCAACCACCCTTATTTCGATGTAATTTTTGTTTTGTTTTGAAGCTAGTGAAAAATTCTAAAGTGTTGAATTGGCAAGAACACCTGACATGCGGACTTGAAGAACTTAAGACGAAACTTGGACCAAAATATAATCTTTTAACTTATTTATTTATATTAGAAACATGCTTAACATTGGTAATATAGATAGACAGTAAAACTCTGGGATGTTTTCGCTTAGACAACAATGCGCTCCGCTTCGACGAGTTTATAGGTGAGTGTAGCAGAGATACTTGTGGATTAGATAATCTAGATACCTGGAGTAGATATGTAGCTTTCTTCTATACTGCGAACTCCTCCCCGACGGCACTGCGTCAAAAAGTTGATTTGTGGAGGTTTTCAAAACTTCACAATAAAACTGACATAACGAATGTAAATCAAAATTAGAAACGACTTTCATTGTCAGCATGTGTAGTTCTTTCTCGTTTGAACGTCCAAGTAGAGTTTCGCAGCATTAATGAATGTAGCGTTGCCATCCGCGTTTGTCAGTTGGTGATTTGCCTCCGTATGTCGGGTAAATTGGTGATTTGCCTCCGTATGTCATTTCACTCTTATCGACATTGCGTCCTTCTTTAATATCATCTTTGCTCCAAGCTCCACTGTTAGCTGGAGGAGGGTAAGTAATCTTAGGCAGGCTAGACACGAGCTCACAAACGGTGAGGATCATCTGCAATTTTTCTAGACTTCGTATAAGAGAAGAACTTTTTTGAGTCGAATTACCGCGACAGTAATGCAGAAAATTTTCATTCTGTCAGCTGCTTCGGTAATCCTTATCTGAAATGATATGGACTTTACAATAAGTTACCTACTAATTGTGAAAGACGTCCGGCGTTTAGCAAAACGGATCAGGTGTTGTTGTGAGAAGCATTAAAAGCAAGCAGCTTATATGCAGCACGGTTAATTTGTATTTACAGCACCTTTTAAGAGGCAAAATAAGCATAAACAGCAATAAAAAGTTTTTTATATGAATTGGTTTTTAGTTTTGGTTATTTTTTGTTTTCGTCGAGCATTAATAAAAAGTTTTTTTTCACATAGAGTTTATGTTTTTTCTCCAAAACCTTTCAACCCCACTTTCGATATTAGCTGGGGCGCTATGTATCAATCACACGATCGTGAGATCGTGTGCTCGCTACCGTTGAAAACGTGCCCAAGATCAGGTGCGAGCACACGATCTCGCGATGTATGAAGCACACGATCTTGCCACAAGATCGTGTAGCAGCGCACCATCTGTCGAGATCGTGCGCTGCTCGGCGACAGATCGTGTGCTCCCCATGTAGACGTGTGAAAGTCCATGGTGTCGCCACGTCCAATGTTTTCCGCACGCCAATTGTGCACAGGTTCGGACGTGTGCGTGACTCGGCGTCTCCCACATCATTTTTAGCGTGTGTATGCTTCGTGAAATAGTTGAGAACTCAACGGCCACGTTTCCTACTCGTTCTTTCTAGTGAAAAACAATCGATTACGACGTGTTTCATTCAGTTGTTAACTAGAAAGAACGAGTAGGAAACGTGGCCGTTGAGTTCTCAGTTTTTCTTCACCTTCACTTTTCATAGCACAGTCGCTCTAGTCAGTTGTCTTTCGCTTCTGTCTCAGTACAATTTTATAATTCTTCGTTTTAGTTGATCGACGTTCATCAATCAATGAACGCCAGATAAACAGCAAGTTGTGAGAGACTGGGATTTCAGGGACCCGTTATTCATATGCGTCGTTTTGATGTTGTGAGTTTATTATTTTTGTTTGTTTTTCTTTCAGTCCACCTTTTTGGCGTTAGAATCTTCATGTTAATATGTTTTTCTTTTCTATTTTTCAAGACTTGATCAGCTGCGTTCCACATAATCTTGTATTGTGCTGTTGTTTATGGATTTGTCGAGACTTTGCCTTCAACCGTTTATCGTGATTGAGAATAACGTTAAACTATATTGTTCCTTGGTAACTGTTAGGCATTGGCCAAATTCGCGTAAAAGCGTAAATCAAAATCCCAAAAGCGCTCAACTTTCTTCAACCTTTGCACAGTTCTCCTTCACTCGTTTCGCGCTAACGTTAAAGCGCCAACACGCTGACGCTTAACGCTGGTCGGTGTCTTATGTATAGCTCAGTTTTCGTCACTGTCAAACTACTGAGTTGTAATTTAGCACACAGAAAACGCACACAAAGGACAAGCATGAAATACAAATTTCTATAATGCGTAGAATGTTCTTTTTCAGATGTTACAAGAAGCAATAAGCTTGAATCTGCAATCCCTGTTCTTAATCGACCCATATCTTCGCGAAAAAATAAGGACAAGTACACAGCAGCGCCTAGAAGGTTAGTGGATTAGGTTGTTGATAAACAAGGACTCGTAAAGATGATTTTAGGAGCGTTGCCCTTAGCTTTGACAGCTTTTGCGCAAATTCGTCAGTTGATCAGTTTGAAACAGTAGTGGAATTGACCGAAGTCCCAGAAAATATCACCGATACCATTGAATTAGGTAAGTATTTCTAGTTTTGGATTTTTTGAATATTCTTCCTATGAGTGTTTTCGTTTTCTTCGCATCCTTGCTTTTAAAATCGCAGATCATTGAGCAGCCGGCGGCCATCAAAGCGCGAAGTGTGCACATTTATTCCGAAAAATTTTGTTGAGCTTTAAATATAAGTGACTTTTCAGAGAATCCCGACACTGTAGCTGACGAATTCGGTCAATCTCCGCTCTATTTCAAAATTGGTTACTTTTCTTTGATTGGGCTTTTGAGAACACACGTGCTTCTTGAGAACTATCATCAAACATTGAAGACCGTTGCCAACGTGAACTTCGACGCTAAGGTTGGTGTTTTCCATGTGTTCACTTCATTTAACCTTGTTGTTTGTGCTGCTACGCTATGTGAGCTCTTGTGTACATTTCTTTTTGAGACAATGCATTAAGTATGTGTAAATGATTGTCGATACTTCAACGCATCATCGACAATCCTCAAATGTCTTTCTGGATTGACTTTTTTCGACGCGCTTGAACCTTTTATCGCGCAGAAATGCATTCTATCGAATCAAATTTATTTCTGCTAAAGTCATCCTTGACTATCGCAATTGTCCTGCTCACATTCTGGATTTTGTCATATGCTTTACAATCTCTATACGTTCTGTCGTTTATACTCAAGCATCTTTGTATACGTTCGTCACATCATTCTGCTTCACACATTATTATTCAAAATATATAGGTTTCTTTGCATTAGTTCCAAAATACATTGAAAGTAAGTTAATTTCGATGAATTTTGCTCATTTTTACCCCTATTTTCTCTTACTCTTGACTGGCCATGCTGGCCTGACCTTGGCAACCTATAGCCCCGGGCAGACTTCACGCGATTTGATCGTCGCGACTGACCGCGACGAGACAACTGTTACAACATCATTCCATGCCGATCAACTTCCATTCGGTTGTGGTACTTTTCCAGCCCGAAATTTTTGAATGTGAATTAAAAATGAATGGAAATCTTGGCGATTGAGTCGCGACGATCAAATCGCGTGAGTCTGCCCGGGGCCTATCATGGATGAGCTATTTCATGAACCATTTCGTCCTCTTTACCCACGGTCACCACTATTTTGATTCCTTGTCGTACGTACTGTGCAATTCTCACTTGCAGCTGTATTTAGAGCGCATCTTAATTTTCATGTTGATCAAAGTTTGACAGAAGTTCTACATGTAAAAGAAGTGACTGCAGTCACTTCATCACCTGCATCTAGTGTACATAGCGAACGAAGAAATCGTGAGTTGGTCGGGTACCAGTTAACACCGAATGTGAGTTTATATCGGTACATCCGGTTTCTTTTCGATTTTGATGACGACACTGAAGTGAGTTCGCTCTTTCAGCTGACACGACATCTTCAGTGGTAACTAGTACAAGTTATCACGAAGAACTCAATACTAAAAGCTATATTTCGAAAGTTTTTGTGCAGTTTTATCAATGGATTATGATAATTTGTTCATGGTGGTTTGCTGTTAGGGTAAGAGCTAAGTTCAGGCTCAGTTCTTAGTGAGTTATCTTGAACGTGAAATCTACTAACGTATTTTAAGGACGTCGGATGCATCCCTGGAACGTTAGAAACGTCTGGAGAAGATTCTGGCGAGACCGCCTGTGTTTGTCTCATGAATAAAGACAGAGTAAATGTTGCTTTTCTCTAAGTTTGCTTGCTTATCTGATTGTGAGTTTTCTAGATCGTTGTGGCGAACTCTGGAGATTCGCGAGCAGTTCTATGCCGGATGGAATTGCCATTGATCTGTCACTAGACCAAAAACCAGAGGATGACATTGAACGAACGCGTATTGTCAATGCTGGCGGATTTGTGAATGAGGATGGACGGTGAGCTATTCAACATTGTGCAGCATTGTCAATATCGCATGCAGCTGTTCCCTATAGAGTCATTGGTGGACTGAATTTATCGCGAGCATTTGGTGATCATAGCTATAAGAAGAATACAGATCTGTCATTACGGGATCAGAGGATCACGTAAGTTGTGGAAGTTATCAGTGACATAATGATCCTGACTGTGAACTTTCAGTGCTCTACCCGATGTAAAAGTGGAAGCTTTGCAACCTAACGACGAGTTCCTCGTCATAGCCTATGATGGGATTTGGTGAGTTTCTGGGGTCAGCTTTTCTTAGCACTCTTAGTTTCATTATCTTTGGATTTTGTGCATTTTCTACTCTGTTGGCTTTGTTTTTGTTCATTTTGCTCAATCAATGGAAGTATCTCTTACTCGTATCTTTTGCTTTGTCCGTATCGCAGTGCATATCGCATCTTTCAGTCCATTATGTGTTCCCTTTAAGCTGCACCTCGCCTATTAGAGAAATAAGCACTTATAATTTTGCGAAGCAATCACATTCATGCACAATGATTTTGCTCAAGGCACACAAACAAAAGATCCTATGGAGGCTCTTTTTGTGCTCATACTCAATATTAAAAGCGCGACTGAACCATTGGAAATTTTTTTTAAGTTCATGACTATTTTTGATTCATTCTCTTGGCATTCGTTCAATATCCTCTTTACTTTTGTAGAAATTCGTTAAACTCTCAACAAGTTGTCGATTTCGTCCGAGAACGACTAAAACAAGGAAAAACTTGTATGGAAATTTTCGAAGAGGTGAGCTTCCGCTCGTTTTTCATTTCTATCTGCTGTTTAACTGTTTGTATGTTTGATTACTTGTGAAAGCAAATGAAAACTATTTTAATTATTCACTTCTTCATTCCTAAGCTCATGCAGAGTAGCCTAAGGAACTCCCATTTTGCAAGAAAACTGCTCTACTTTGCAAATAAGAAATGACTTTCCTATCCTTTTTAGCTTTGCGATCACTATTTGGCACCGTCAACAGCCGGCGATGGTATTGGTTGCGACAATGTGACGGTTATTATCACTACGATTACTCACTAAAATATATCTCGGTTCACCGTCCATCTCCCCCCTCCCACTGCTCCCCTTGTTCTTCTCCTCACATTTTCATCCCTTTCATCCGTTGTCCGCCTCGCTCCCACAATACCACACATGAGATGTTCCTGTCAATATAATCCTTACAGAGATAATGTTTTGTTTAGCGCTTTGTTGTTTCTTTGTTGTGAAAATCTGTGTTTGTAAAAGACGTGTTGCCTTATCACCTCGATTTGAGGCCCATTCCCATAAAAGAAAAAACATTTCTCCTGTGCAGTCTTGAAATCTAAAAGTACGCCGGAAAATAATAAGCTTATAGCTCCGCCTTATTTCAACACTGTAAGCGTCGTTGACACTAACAGCGCATCGTACCTGCGCCGTCTGAAATCGTTATACCCATTTCGACGTTGAATATGATGTTTCTTGTGGTCTAGGACATTACAGGCACAATCGAAGGTCGTAGCAATTGTAGCGAAATGCAAATAGCACAAACGTTGTAGAGAAATATAATCATAGTGATGACAATTTAAAACGGTGAAATAGGGTGATTATGCTGAATTCGCAAACACATCGCTTGGTCACATTCGTCTATCGTCTATGCCTACCTTTTCTTGCGCTCTCATGTTTTCCATACCTTCACGGGATATTTGGCTCTGAAACCTTTTGTTTCGGTACAGAAGCATTGTCGAGAAAATGTAATATCGTAAAATAAAAGTACAATAAGTAAGTAAAACGTAATATGTAATACAAGAGAGAGGACTGTCTACTAGAACAATTTTTTGGGGTGGGAGAGGGGCCTGTTTTTCCTCCTGTTTCTCCTGTTTTTTTCTGTTCCAAGTTCCATCCCGTGTTTTAATCAATGGTCTTTTCAACATAAAGCATTCATAAATGTTTTATATTATTGTGTAATTTTCATTATCATTATACTTCATTGTTTGATATGAATCATGAATAATGAATCGTCAAAGACAAGCAGCAAATACAATGGAATAATATTACATGACACAATACAAAACGAATCGACACCTATCTTTTAGATAATCACTGGTACTCTCCTATTGGCAACAGGAAAAAAATCTTTGTTAGAAGAGCTGTTTTGGGGATAATTTCTTCTTTCGTTGGCGATTTGCAGTTCCAACTTCTGTTTCTCGAGTTCAGCATTTGCGAGATTCGCCTCTGCCGTCTTTACTTGAATCTCAATCAAGCGTGCAAAGTTGTCAAAATAGCATGATGCTTCAATGCACTCATCCTACATTGTTTAAGATACAAAAATATTACATTTTTAAGCAGAACGAAACCTAAGGGCGTTTTCATCATAGAGGAAAAAACGTGTAGGCTAAATTTGCACAGTGCCGAGATTCTTTTTGCTTGTGATAACGCTTTACAATTGTTAACCCCTCATTCGCTGCCTCTGGTTCAAAAACAAGTGATTTCTTGCTTCACAGAAAAACCTGCTAAGAATCACTTCTTTTTTGCGTTCAAGTATGACATCATAAGATGATGGAGACTGATGAAGCAGCGCAATATACAATGTTGACAATTTTTAAGATAATCATAAACTACGTGTGACAAACAAATTCGAACCGCTATCCATTCATTATGATAAAAAGCCATCTATGATCGGACATTCTCATCGGTCAAGTATCAGATGTTTGACGCAAATTATTCGCAGCAGCTTTGATGCATATATGGAAGCCCTCATCTTCACTATGCCTAGTTCTAGAGAAATCATGAGCTTTGAATGAACAGGCAGCCTTTTGCTCCTCTTTCTGATTAAGGAATTTTTGAGAAAAACGTTATCAACAACCATTGCCGGAAAACAACTCTCGAAAATCTTGCAACGTAACTGAAAAAGCGCCTTACTGACCACGCCATTTTGTGGAATTCGAGGAGTTCAGGAGTTCAGGAGTTGGAATTTGGAGTTTGAAGTTGAGGCTAGCTGCGCGCGCAAAATGTCGGCATTACTGGCGTGCATAATTGTTCACGCGCAAATTCTACCACATTTCATCCGCACTGCAAGAACAGTATATTCAGCGGAAAGTCGTCGAACGCCAAGTTTGCCGACTGCGATCGACAGGACCAATGAAGTGCCGCGCATGCGCGTGTGCCAAATGGACGAGGACACTACGATTTGTACATCGTACACAACTATTAAGGAAACGACTGCATATACTGAATGGAATTCCTTCACCAACGAAGGATATGCTAAACAACAAGTAGCCATTGTCTTTCTCTCTCTACCCCACCCTCCCCCCACCCAACATTTCCACACCAATTATCCCTCTTTCTTCATGAACCACTCTGCGCATTGCGGACCTTAAAGTCTGCTCATTTGAACAGATTTCGTCATTCTGACGGCTGTCAAAGCGCTCACATGCACTGCGCATGATAGGGTCCATGTCAAAGTACATGCGGGGACAGAATTTTGATATATAAAAAACCTGTACACATGAAAATTTGTGCACTGTGAAAGTCAAAGGCGATCTTTTGCAAGTTGTCAAAATCATTTGTCAGTTCTAGCATGAAGTTATCAACAAGGAAGCAAATGTGGGCGCTTTAGAATCAAAGGTGCCCGCTCACTGCAACTCAGAACATTAGGGAAGGTCAGACCACAATAAGTGGAAACTTAAAAGTAACAACAGAAAGCATTTCTGCACCCAGTTTGCGCAAGAATATGCGGTCACGACGAAAACGAAAACGAAAATAGAAAAAAAAGAATAAAAAGGAAACGAAAAAATGAAAACTAACCACGTAGAAGGCGTATGCACTTGTCTGCTTGTTTGTTATGGCAAAGCTGACAAGGGAATGGTCAGAAATCGAAGTGGTCAATCCATACAAGCTGCATACCATTAGATGCAGCATAAAACGCTGACTCTTAATCTGTCGTTTTTATCTGCAGAGCGCTTTTGTGGACGAAATTATAGGCCGTTGAAGGTCATTATTTTGCTAGGAAATTGTGCGTGTAAAGTGCAAACTTGGCTTTACAAAGCAATTTTCAGCTCAGTGTTGGACCAAAACATGCAACTAGGTCACTTCATATGACCCGTACCTAGAGGTGAGCTGAAAGAGCAATAATGTGCTTAATATCACAGTTTTTATAAGACTTTTCGCAGTAAAGCTGCTCATAACTTCGCCTACAAAGGCGCTCTGCAGATAAGGAAGACAGATTTGAAATCAGCATTTTATGCTGCATCGAATGGTATGCAGCTTGTATGGAATGGCCACTTCGACTTCTGACCATTCCCTTGTGAGACGATTCACAGCTATTCGCCTGGCTTCGAAGTCTGCAATGCAAAGACAATCAATAAATCGATAGCATAGACTAAGCAAACGATAGCATAAACTTACAAAAAATGGAACAAGGAACTCAAGATGCCGCTAGGGGTAGTAGAAGGCTCGTTAGATTCTTCACGCTGAATCTTCGGTATCACTGTGGGGACAAATAAACTCGTCGTCTATACACGCTCTGTCCCTCCGAGCTTGCAATACGGTCAATTGCGAGGTAGAAAACGGACGACGTAAAACGCGTAAGCACTTGACTGGTCGTTTGTTGTTTGATCGCAAAGCTGTGACGATTCACAGCTATTCGCTTAGCTTCGAAATCTGCAATGCAAAGACAATCAATAAATCGATAGCTCAGAACACAACACGGGGCTATGAAGACGACAAGGGGCGAACGCGAAAACACTTCCCATGGATAGGCAATCAATAAAGGAATTCACGAAGTAAGGGCGATTCATGGAAAAGTATGATGATGTCATGTAAAATTGCATCGCTCATGACAAACATACACCTATCTCAATTTTGACGTGTGTATATCAAAACGAATACATAACGAAATCATAATATTGAAGAGAAAGATATTCTCATGGACACGACCAGCAGCTACTACTTTTTGCATGCGCATCTTCTTATATTTTCTTGCATTTTTCGTACTATCGTACAAGTCTAAATAAATTCCTATTTGCAAAATTTCCAAAGACTAAGGCTGCTGCATAGGACAAATGTGAGAAAAACATATGCTAACTGATAATGCATAAAAGGAGTGAGGAGCATAGAATTCGGACCAATGTGATCATGCAAAATCTTCAGCTAGCACTTTACAAACTGATAGAAAAACGCTAGAGAACCAAAAATACGGACGGCACAAGAAAAAATGAAAAAGTTCGACGTGAAATGAGGCATTAGACTCACAGTATTGCGAGAAATGAATGTACGGCGTCACTTCGCGTTGACGCCAGCGCGGTCACTCGCTATGCGCCAGTACGGGTTCCCTGGCGCACACGGACACCGCACATTGTGTAACTACACGATCTTGTGCACACATTCATACATCGCGTGCGCCTCCGCAGATCGTGTGCTGGTTCAAGATCGTGTAATTGCCAGATCTTGAACCAGCACACGATCCTGAGATTGATACATAGCACCCCTGATATGCAATTCACAAACTCTCAAAAAAGACTTGGCTATTTCAAAACAATTTTTATGCGCACAAAGCCAAGCTTGCAACGGACCAACAGAAAACAAGGAGGTATTTCATTTTTATTTTTACCAGGTACTTGATGCTTCAAACAATTTAAAGCGTGTAAATGTGTATAGTGTGTTCCTTGAAATATACTACATCTCATTGGGCATATCAGATTTTGGTTTGTAAAGCTGAGCGGGGATTTGTTTTCAGGATTTGATAGTGTCATTCTAAACCAAGCGCTGCTCAGACTGATCATAATGTTTTGTGATTTGTTATATACTTAGTGGTGATACAATAAAACAGATATATTTATTAACATTATTTTCAGGTTTGTACAATCACATGCCGAGGTAAATATTAAATTGTTGCAAAAATAATGTCCGTTTTGCAAATTTTCACTTTGGAAGACTATAAATTCGTTCAGTCTCCATATTTTTGAATGCAGTCAAGGCCATCACAAACATCAAACCTTTCTTAACTTAGCGTGCCCCTGCCCATACTGATATCGCAAACGGGACGAAAACCATGCGTCAGAAAACTGCAAATTTTTCTCTTGAAAACCTCATCTTCAAGAGCTTACAACTTCCTTCAAGCTTTGTCCCTATGTCTGCTAATTAGCTTATTTTGTAGCCGCAGGCCATGAGTTTACACCTGTATAGAAAAGACTCCAAAGAAGGAGTTCTGCGAAAAGAAAAGATAAAAATTCAAAAATGTTCAGCCTTTTGAGCCTATTTGTTGTAGGCTTGTAAGTGCCTAATCATGGAAATTTGGAATTCTTCGCGCACTGAATAGCTAAGTTTCTCTTCAAATATTGTAGTTAAGGTGCGCTAATTTCAAGCTTAGAGAAATGGGCGAAGCTTTGGCGATTGCCTTAATTATGAGAAATTTCTGACCCATAGAATGCCAGCAGCGAGTGTCTATTTCGACGCGTCAATTTCTCAGTCCACATATCTCCAAAATCTACATAAGCACGCAGTAGGTAAACAATCTTCATCCAAATACATCTGCTATGTTTTCAGAAGAATTCGTTTATTTGCTCCTGAATTGTGGTCACGAAAGGGGAAGCTATGAGATTCTGATTTTGAGTGCGGATGTGCGAAATGCTGATGAAATTCTCACAAGTGGTGATAGCAGCTCAATTCTACCGCCGTGAGAAAATACAGGAAGAGAGCTTTCCAATGATATGCAGATGTTATATCGAAAAAGAAAGTTTGATGGGAAAAAGTTGTTTGGAATATAGGCTAGAAAAACGGACATTATTTTTGCAACAACCTGATATATTATTCACCTATTTTCAAAACCATGGACGAGCTCGATAAGTGTTTCTTGATTTGATTGCTTTCACGCTTTCCAGCCTAAAAATTAGTTTGAATAACGTGTTTAATAAGCATTGGAGAAAATGGAAGCCACCGTCATTTCATACTGAATAGCTTTTCCTTAGAATTTTTTCTAGCGGTCAGATTTGAAAGTTAAGATTTTCTGAAACCACATACCTTTTGATTCAACTGGCTTGGCGGCTGGAAGGCGGGGCTTCGTGACCTAATTAGGGCTACGTAATGATCAGATAGAGGGGCGCAGGAGAGACGCAGACCGCTCCGTAGGCGCGAGCGGCATTAATTAGATTACAAAGCCCCGCTTTCCAGCAGCCAAGCCATTTAAATCGAAAGTCACGTAAGGTTCTCCCAGAACTCAGCATGGGGATAGATACTGCGCCGGAAGTCGTTCTTGACGCATATAGCATCTTATATACAGTCGTTTTCAATACGTATTGGTTTTTTCTACCGTATGCCTTCCAGCCTCAACATGACGTGGATTGGTGTGGATTGGTGTGGATTGGTGCTGCGCCGCCGAGAAAAGCAACGCGGCGCAAACCCGAAGCGATGCGGCGCCTCACCAATCCACACCAATCCACACCAATCCACACCAATCCACACCAGGGAAAGTTTTTTATATCTTCCAGCCTGAACATGACGTGGATTGGTGTGGATTGGTGTGGATTGGTGTGGATTGGTATGGATTGGTGAGGCGCCGCATCGCTTCGGGTTTGCGCCGCGTTGCTTTTCTCGGCGGTGCAGCACCAATCCACACCAATCCACACCAATCCACGTCATGTTGAGGCTGGAAGGCATACGGTAGAAAAAAACCAATATGTATTGAAAACAACTGTATAAAGCTGAATGTGTGTCTGTCTGTATGTATGATCGTTTCCACGTCGTGTAGAGGCGGGTTGCGGACTTTCCCTGATTTTAAGGACGAACTTGTTAAATCTCCACGTCATAACACTGTTTTTCGTACCTTTGAGTTGGCAAAACCCCGCCTCTACTCGAATCGTGAAGTCGATGATATGTATGTACGTATGTGCGGAATAGAAATTTTCATTTCTTAACCGATTTGGACCAAACTTGGCACACATACACTTCGGGGCGGCGCGGGTGTCACAGGCTACTTTTCGTCATCGATGGATATCGATTTTATCGATTTTATCGGCTTTTGCAAAGTTTGAGCTACAGGGCTGGGAGTTGGCACAGGGGGGTAAGTCGACTGATACTGCTGATTACTGCTTGTTGCTGAAACAACACAAGGGAACGGGAAATGAAGTGTAGAAATGGGCAGAAAAGGTTGTACAGGGATAGGGATGGGACCTTTATTACATTGTTTTGACAGGGCCGAGCGGAGCCGGGTAAGCAAGCTAGTATACCATATAAGCTGAAAAATAGCAGCGAAAATCCAGGCAATGGAAGGATAAGTGCGCTCAAATCGACCAAAACACAATACGGTTGAAAGGTACTGCCTCTATTTCAAATTTGTAATTCTTTTTAAAATAGAAAGAAAAGATCTTTTCGAGCAGCTTCTAAATCAAGAAAAAATCGTTGTCTCATGCTGTATGGTGGCATTTCCCCATTTTCGACCTAATTGCCAGTATGGAAGTGCAAAGCACCACGGCCGGATTATGCACAGGGTCAAGCAAGGGGTGTGGCACACGATCGCTGGTTACGACCCCCCCCCCACTGATTGCTGTCTTAATAAGACCCTCCCCCCGGACTATACCCTTTAGATAGCAATACTTGGAAGCCCTGTCAAACATAATGGGCAACATATCCATAATGAGCATGTCAATTAACCCCTGTAGAAAAAGTTTGAGCGAATTCTGAAGATTCAAGATACTAGGCTACCTAAGTGAAATGGTCAAATTCCAACATGGTCAACTTTGTTTCAAAGGTGAATTAGCTATCCGTTTCCGCACTCAAGACAAAGCACTACTCCTTCTTTGTCCACCTCAGGAATCCCGCTTCAGAAGACCTCCAAACTGTGGAATTAGAAGCCAACCAAAATCTCGTTTTTCCCATTTTTCGCTTTTGATCGCTGTGCTTTCACCAAATATTACTCAGAGCTAAGAAGACGAATCAGGCTCAAAACACTCCTGTGAAAACTAGGTGATCTAGGCTATCGATCCATATAAATATTGTCCGCTAAAAATGTTTTTTTGATATAGTTAATGGCCTGCGGCACCCCCCTCAAAACCTGCGGCTGCCGCAGGTTTTGAGGGGGGTGCCGCAGGCCATTAACTATATCAAAAAAACATTTTTAGCGGACAGTATTTATATGGATCGATAGCCTAGATCACCTAGTTTTCACAGGAGTGTTTTGAGCCTGATTCGTCTTCTTAGCTCTGAGTAATATTTGGTGAAAGCACAGCGATCAAAAGCGAAAAATGGGAAAAACGAGATTTTGGTTGGCTTCTAATTCAATAGTTTGGAGGTCTTCTGAAGCGAGATTCCTGAGGTGGACAAAGAAGGAGTAGTGCTTTGTACTAAGTGCAAGAAGAGGTGGCTTGCTCACCGTTAAGATGAAGTTAATCATGTTTTAAATTACTGCTTTATACAAGGTTGTTTACTGCTCGGAAACCTCAAAGTTCGCTGAAACTTTGCGCATAGGGGTTATTCGACATGCGAATTACGACAATTATGCTTGATTAGAGGTACGGTAGGTTACGGTAGGCATACGGTATCTGCAAGTTTGTGTCGTTGAACTTGAATTTTGCAGAATTTCAACAGCGCTTTCATCAAGTCAATTTAGTTACACAACTTGTACAAGTGCTTTTGACCTTGGGTCGATACGACCCCCCCCCCCTACCTACCCCCCCCCCCTAACGTCCCCCCCCCTGCGGCGTGCCGCACCCCCCGCTTTACCCTGATTATGCATGTACACGCAAATTGAGGTTGGTGAAATTTTGACATTGTATGATAGCGGAGCTCCCAACTATGTAATCGCCCAAGCCTCGTTGCAAAAATGACTTACAAAGCGAGAAAAACGTTCCAGAAGGTAGAAGCGGCCCAGGCGGCCCCGCCCATCAACTGGGTGGTCCGGAGATAAGATTCCGAAATTGCGCTCTAATTTTTCTAGAATTGCCGATCGCCTTTCGTTACTATCAAGGTTTTGACACTTCTATCTGCCCTGAAGCTCGCTTTCTTTATTATCTTCAGACCACCCATGTTGATGAGCGGAGCCACCTGGGCCGCCTTCTATCTTCTGGAACGATTTCCCTCTTCGGAATTCATCTTTTGCAGCGGGAGTTGGGCGATAACCCAGATAGGGGCCCCCGCTATCATAAAGCACTAACATCTCAGAATACTGAATTTGGATGAACGGTGCCTTCAAGTTAATTTGTGAGCAAAACCTTGGTCTAATATAGCAAACCTCGTTCTGAGATCATCATAGAATGGATTAACATAATCTGTCATGAATTCCAAAAACACATCCTCATAGAATATGTCCACCATTGATGTCCTGAAAAAATATTTTTGAGATCTTTTTTGCTTACGATGTGGACATTCAGAACCTCAGGCGATCGATTATCTGATCTAACCGGTCCAAATACTTCTTATATGAGTTGCCTATGGCGTCGGTGTAGAAAGGATTGCTAGCATTAAGGTGCATATGAGATCGTTGGAGATATGCTGACTCCCTGGAAATGATAGCTTATTAAAGGATAAAAGCTCGTCAAAAGGACCACAACCCAACCCAAATGTACCTGTTATGTATCCAAGTAGCGTTGTCGTATTGTTGCTTAATAGACATAAAATCACGAATGGAATCCCTGACTTTGTACCCTGAACATAATCAGGATTAGCGCCATTTCAGTGATGGCACAATTTTGCCTCAACCTTTCATGCTTTCAAAAAGTCACCAAAATTTTTCACTTTGTAAGTCGTTTAGCTGCTTTTTAACATATTATTTTATAAGATTGGAGGCTGTGGCCCGACATAACGAACATCTGAAAATTTCAATATAGGAACTAGTTTACGACCCAAATATGAGAACAAAGCAAGACCGATAGCATGCCCTCGCTGCCGAGAAAATTTCCCTCAAACCCCTGCGCGCAGGCGAATTTTGTACGCGCTCGGACGAGTTTGCGACTTCCTCTCCGTTGTTGAAGGCGCATACCGCAATGTTTTGACCACAAGGATCCCGCCACGACTTTTTCTCTCTAAGCTTAGTGGAAACTGTTCCACTCATTCGATGCAAAAATGGAAGGTCATGGAGGATTTTAGTTTTTGCCATTTTCGCGCTATTTCAGGTGGATTTTCGGGATCAGCGCTTGGATAACCTCAGGTAGAGATTTTTTAGCTTCAGAATCTATCCAGCCATTGACTTTGAGCTGGCATGCAGCCCAAAGGCATTTATGACGAAAAGATGATAACCGCGTTCAAAAAACTTGCTAGTTATTTCCATCGGTAGGACAGAATCATAATTTCCATACATTATTTTTGTACGAAAAAGCTCCACGTGAGGTCCTGGCACATGATTGAATACATGAAGGTGAAAGCTCAATCTCTAATCCGGTATAGAGAAGCTCTAAGCTGCTGATTACGGTGATCATGTATCGAAAATCTAAATTTCGCTGATTTCGATAATTTCAACCTTTGTTTCATGAGTCTCCAAAGCCCTTTGTGCAAGGCTTTTATGATCACAGTATGTCTGCCATCAATTTCTACATCAATTTTTTAGGCAATATTTATATTGAAAAAAAAAACTATCTCAATCCAGTCGTAAGAACATAATGGACAAGTCGATTTTGTATTCGTAGGTACGTAAAATAACCCTCCCTTAATCAACATTTTTCACAGAAATTCATGGCAATAACCAACCCGATTGACTTAACGTAAATTACTTACTACTCCCCCTCATTGGTGATCTTGAAAAATGCAAAAGAAAAGAATTTTTGAAGGCAAAAAAGTTTCGTAAATGCAGTAGAGACCTCCATCTCTATATACAAGCAAAAACAATAATTTTCCGTGCCAAAAACGCTTATTTCTTAATAGTTGCCTCAGAGCACTTTATTAAATATGTGGAAAAAATGCAAAGGTAACTAAAGAGATAGTATGCCAGCTTTTTTGTTGAATAGACCCACCTGGAAAACGACAAGCATCCTCGCCTCCTATAAGCTGATTTATTGTTGTCTCCGATGGGCACTTGAACGCCCTAAGTATAATCTCAGAGTCGATGTCTGTGAAAAAGTAGTTTGCAGTATTTTTATTATTTTCATGCAAAAACAGGTACCTGATAGCACAAAGTTCTTAACAAGCTTGAGATTTATCGCTAATGAGGCCATCGAAACGGGAAGCAACTCACAGAGTGATGCAAAATGGTCGTATCTAAGAAGGGGGTTCAATCAAGCTCGGAAAAATTGGAGGCCAGAAATTATCGGAACAATTGCTTACCTTTGCCAGCCTGTCAAGAAGTAGCCTTGAAACCTGGTAAAAAGGTCACCATGTTCTAATGATTGGAGGTACCTGAAAAAATTCCAATCAAAACCAAACAGGCATTAGCCAAATAGATAAATAGGCTGGTGCATAATTTTTAATTACATTACACTCAAATCTGTTCAATTCTGAAAACTCAAAAGCTTCCTAAAATCCTTGCATTAGCCTCCTATGTAGAGCATAGAAGATCTATTCACAAGCATCGCTGATGCCGCGAATGCACAAATAGCCAGCAAGTCTACGACAGCTTCGCAAAACTCCCAAAATTCCATTTTTCTCTGATTATTTCTCTGCTTTGTTTGAGGTTTTTCTTTCCTATAACTTTTTTAGAAGAAAGTTTAGCACTTTCTCTTTTATGTACTCTGGTATCGCTAGCATCTTAAAACTGTGGGTTAAATAAAATACGGAGAAAAATTCCATTTCATCGTGCGAAATTGACACGAAAAGGTTAAAAATAATCGTTTGGAGCCTTTCGAAAAGATTTCTTTGATCACGATGGAAACGTTTGCACTCCTTTAACTGTTCTAAACATGAAATTTTCGAAAGCTTCCAGGTTTTCAAAAACTAAATGTTTGAATATAACAAAAATTATCCACCGGCTTAACGCAACAACATTAACATAACAGCTAGATCCTGAATTATAAGCCATTTGTATTTTTTGTGAGACATATTTTTTATAGAACGCCTGAGGAACTTCCTTCGGCAGAAAAACAAATGTAGACCTAATCGTGTTCTTTGCGCTCATGTTTTGAAATTTCCTTGCGATACACATTGCGCAAAGTATAATGTAATTGTAATTTTTCAACGATTGAAACGAACCATTCTTTGTTATTCTGTATGTATGGCTTCATGCGATTCCAGTAACGATTAGGTCCGTCAGCACCTGAAAATAGATGTACAAATCATAGTAATCAAGATTGCACAGCTCTTGTAGTTCTCATGGTTGTTTCGAGATGTGATAGATGGTAGACAACATAAACTGAGCCCCTAACTCGGGTAGAAAAGACGTCCTGCGGCGCATTAATCTTGACGAAACCGTCCGGACTTCATAACTTTGTTCAAGATGATTTTTATGAGATCGGGTTCCAATATTTGGAAAAAAATCTACATGGACTCGAAATATCATCAATTGCAACTTGCTTTCATTGACAGGGTTTTATTGAATTACCCCGATGGAAAAATCGCGACGAAATCGTCGCGCTCCCATAATTTTACTTGAATAGGATTTCTCCACTTTTGATTTACGCTAAAATCCCATAGATAAGAGCGGTTTAATTTACCGGTGAAAAAATGAACTGGAATGAAATTGAAATTGAATGCAGTCACCCCTCTAACTTGATGGATGGATAAATAAAAATCGGAGAAGAAGTTTAGAAGAAGCTCCGCCCCTCAATTCTAAACCCCGCCCACTTAATAAACAATTCATATAGAAATTCCGAAATTCCGTTAAAATCGCTATTTTTCTAATTGTTTATTAAGTGGGCGGAGTTTAGAGTCGAGGGGCGGGGCTTCTTCTAAACTTCTTCTCCGATTTTTACTTATCCATCCATCAAGTTAGGGGGGTGACTGCATTCAATTTCAATTTCATTCCAATTCATTTTTCACCGGTAAATTAAACCGCTCTTATCTATGGTATGGTATCTATGGTATCTATTTTAGAGTATGTTTCAAACAATCTTGGTTTATTGTTTGTCTAGAAATACAACTAAGAATGTTAAGAAAATCAATTATCAAAGCATGCAATTCGTCGCGACCTTCTGTTGCGGCGATTCAAAGAAGACTCTTTCAGTGAAAGTGAGTTTGAGCTATTGGTGGTTTTTTTAAATCCTTGTAACATTTTCTTAAAGTTCATCATCTGATTTCATAAAAATTACTTTGACCCATGTTTTGGAGTTCCGACGATTTCGAAGAGCGATATAAGGGCTAGTATGCACCTTTCCCCGCGCAAGTAACATATTTTTACTTGTGATAAAATATTTTGTAATTTTCTTTAGACTCGAATTAGCTTCGTGAAAAAATTTATCAGAGACAGCTAAGTCCTTTTTTTCCAGACGGGGTTATGGCGCATCCCCTTACAAAAAAAATTTTTTTTTGGACCGACGCTGTCCGAAATATACTCTTTCTGTAATCTTGAGCCCTCAATGCCAAAGTTCTACTCACCTTTGAAAGCGCTTCCTCCCCATACGGAAGAGAATGAGCGTGCAAGCTCCTCCCACATTCCTCTGGGAAGATCCTAGAACGTCTGATATTGGTTTGAAAGTCTTTTTTTTTATTTGAAAGTGCATAACCTCATTTAGATTTGCTGTATATCTCCATACCACAGGTGTTACAAGTTGTTCCAGGTCATATTCCCTAATCAGTGTATGATTTGCGTTTTTAAACTCGTCATACCACATAAGGACCTAAATTTGCTTTCATTAGTATTACCTTCCATTTAACAAATTCAAAAACCGGGCTGACCTGTGTTTTGGGATATTGTTGGGTAATGTTCTCAGCTACTGTTTTTATATAATCATAGACTAGTCGCTTTTTGTCATTATCATATTTAGGCAAAATCTTCTTATCAGCTTCGCATTGTCCCATCTGAAATTATCAGAGATTCAATGAAAAAGAAAATGTGAGTGAGAATGAGTTTTTTTTTACCATGTAAACTTCATCGGCACCAATATGGATGTAGGGCATTCGTATTTTTGAATGCAAAGACATCACCTAAAATAAATAAATACTTAGATTGTACGGCATGCGAATAGTCGAACTTTATGCTTCATTTTTTCCAGAAAGCAGAAGATTTGCAAAAAAATTTTGGAACAGAAAATTCTTAAAAATTTGTTATTTTCTTAGACAAGAGATAGTGTGACAAATTATGACAATTACAAAAAAAAATTACTATCAGGAATCAGTTTCGTTTTCGAAACTGTCACCAGCCACCAATAATTTTGAAAATTACGAGAGCTAAGATCTTCATGTTCCAAATTTCTCAATTACAAAAGGGTTTCAGAGAATATAGAAAAAACAGGAAAACAAGTTGAAGTAAAATTTGGGCTTTAATCTGATAGGAAATTTTTCTAAGAGCTTTTGAATTATTACCATAGAAACTGAAACAGAAAAAGAGACAGATACCATCTCGAAAACTTTTCTCACCTGATTTAAAGAATCCAGAATGAGCTCCAAAACATTGTCGTCGCCGATGCAAGCCACCTAAATTGCAGGAAGACGAAACCTTTATAGACCTTTATAGAGAGTTGAAAATCTTCTAAAAAATTCCATGTACCAAAAAATTACCATAGGGTAGCTAGCATTCTCGCGAAAATCTGCAAATTCTTTTGTCTTAAGTATCCATTCAAGATGTCCAATTGTTTGCACGAGTGGAATAACGGATAGTCCAAGTGATGCGGCACTAAACCTCAGTTTTTGTAAAATTTCGATTTCAATGTAAAATAATACTGTTGAAGGATGTCGAGAGCCTCGTTGTATGAATAAGCATTGCCATTCTTGATCGCTCCAAGAGCTCCTTCATAAGGGAACATGTCCTAAAGGGCACTCAGTAATTCAAAGTAAACCTAACCAATCCTTAGTTTTCAAGTACTGAGTATAATCTGCTCACTCATCAAATCCCACATTCATTTTATGAATTCTTTAGTACTCGTAATCAATCTTCTCATGATTTTTATTCACTCATTCATGAATTTTCCCATGCGCTATCACCTTCGATATATTTTTTTGTCATTTTAACAACTGTGGTAAAAAATTTGCTAAATTTTTAAAATGTTTGAGACTTTATCAGAGAAGAAATCGTTCTGGAGAATTGATTGCCACATTTCAACAAATGTGGCTAAAAAAATAATTTCGATCATGTGGTGAGAAACGTGTGAGAAGCCATCAATAAATTTTGACCCTTGATAATCTTATAATCCTTGATACCTTCAAAGACAGTAAATCGAGAAAAAGTAAAACGTTAGTTTCCTTTCGGAAGGATTTTTTTAATTTCTTATGAAGCAAAAGAACAGAGTTCCTAGACAAAATTCAAAAAGTGATTCAGAGCAAAATTTATTCAAAATCAAAGAACTTCAAATTTTTTCAGTTCATGACGATGTTACTTAATTATTGATCAACTTTGATATCAAGTTTTACTTCGGCACAAAAATCTTTCGTAGCAAAAAATCATGTTCTAAACATCAGTGTAAAAATCAAAGTGTTTCCAGATGCTTTTTTATATCTTATATATAAAGCTGAATGTCTGTTTGTCTGTATGTATGTATGTATGTATGTCTGTGTGTACGTATGTTCCGAATAGAAAATTCCATTTCTGAACCGATCCGGACCAAACTTGGCACACATACACTTCGGGCCCCGGCGGGTGTCATAGGCTACTTTTCGTCATCGATCGATATCGATTTTATCGATTTTTTGCAAAATTTGAGCTACGGGGCTGGGAGTTGGCACAGGGGGGTAATCGAGCATACTGATTACGAATATAATAATGACAGGGCCGGGCGGAGCCGGGTAAGTCAACTAGTCTAACTATAAATTTTCGGTAATTCATTATGTTCCACATGTTTTCTGTGCAATAGTTAAGATTTTCTCACATTTGCAATCTCTTTCTCAACAACTGTGCGTGCCATGACGATCTTAGAAACACTTTTTTCGTTACACTTATTATATAGAATGAAAAAAAATACATACCTCCCATTCGATCAAAACTCCATCTGCACCTACATCAGCTATTGTAGTAAGTAGCTGCTTGAAATAAGAAGGTCGTGGTGGGGCACCTGAAAATTTTGAAAAACCATTTTGACCTACTGAAACAAGGGAAGGAATACGGCTCGTTTACATCCATAACACTTCAACAATCAAGTCATGAACATTTTTGTATATTCCTGTTGATATGAATGTCTTTTCACAAAATTTACGGAAATTTGTGATTTCTCTGCTCCAACATAAAAGAAAGGAAATCCTGCTCACTAGGTCCCAAAGCAACATTGTTGTCAGTTAACAAAAGTTGATCAAAACTTGCTCGAATTGTAAAGTTTTAGAACTGGTTTGGTCGACAAAAAGAAAATTGTAGAGGTTGTTCGAAAAGTTTCTGGCCTCAAGTCAACTGCGAATCTTAACTCGATTTTGCTTTGTAGCACCTCTCTGATCTTCATAGTGTTCTTTTCAGAAATTTCACACCTTGTAAAGGCTATGAAGATAAAATATAAACTTTTTGGTGTTGGTTTTTTGGCGAAAAAATCCTAAAACTGGATCTCTTGTCTTTCAAGGCAGGCACGGTATTTCAAAATGATCTCACTTCCACTAAATCAAAGCATATGTAAGAAACTTAAAGGAATGGCTCGTAAAAGGTGTACCAAGTGTTTTGTGATTTCTGTTTCCCTCTTTGTAACAAGGGTTTCAAGGAAAGAGGTTTTGAAAGTTAAATTCATGTGTTGCAATTTGATAGGACATCAAAGAAACCACAAAGAAACCTGATTTACTGAAATAATGGCGTCTAGGCCTGGTGAGCATAATAAAACAAAATGAGCATTAAAATTCGAATTTGAAGTACTTTAGACCAGATACTTTCCAAACAGAAGAATTGAATTAGCCCTATCATTTTTGGGCTTCACTGTTGATCTTACTAACTGAGAAAACTTTGTGCTAGTCGAATGTCTATCACATAAAAAATGTCATTTTTGACCTTCGATAGTTTGATCTTTAACTAGAAAATTTACATCGTGTACATTGATTTTGCTTCAATTCGATACAAATTTTCAGCAAAGAGAAACATGGGGTCGAAAAATAAAACCAGTGGTAAATAATACCAATTACAGCAAATCATATTTCGATAATCACTCACCTTTCAAGTCCAAATGTACAATAGCCTCGCGATGTGTGACTTGGCAGTGGACCTAAATGAGGAACATACAGTCGTTTTCAATACGTATTGGTTTTTTCTACCGTATGCCTTCCAGCGTCAACATGACGTGGATTGGTGTGGATTGGTGCTGCGCCGCCGAGAAAAGCAACGCGGCGCAAACCCGAAGCGATGCGACGCCTCACCAATCCATACCAATCCACACCAATCCACACCAATCCATACCAATCCATACCAATCCACACCAATCCACACCAATCCACACCAAATTACACCAATCCACGTCATGTTCAGGCTGGGAAAGTTTTTCCTAACCAGCCTGAACATGACGTGGATTGGTATGGATTGGTGTGGATTGGTGTGGATTGATGTAGGAAAGTTTTTTCTACCGTATGCCTTCTAGCCTGAACATGACGTGGATTGGTGTGGATTGATGTGGATTGGTGTGGATTGGTGTTGGTTGGTGTGGATTGGTATGGATTTGTGAGGCGCCGCATCGCTTCGGGTTTGCGCCGCGTTGCGTTTCTCGGCGGTGCAGCACCAATCCACACCAATCCACACCAATCCACGTCATGTTGAGGCTGGAAGGCATACGGTAGAAAAAACCAATACGTATTGAAAACAACTGTATGAGCGAGTAGATGAAAGTTGATGAGATTTTACTGCTTGCCCTTTTTACTATCAAAGCGTGAATAGTTAGTTAATTGGTGCATGAGTTTCCAAGTTGATTGATTGAGTACTCTGGATTCGAAATGCTCAAAGTCGAAGAAGCCATAAAAAGAATTCCAAAAGATTTTTTGCGAAAGCGCTTAATTTCTCGTTTTCGGGAACTACGGATAAATCCCATTCCACCACAAAAACTTTTAGTATATTTAATCCATAAATTTCAATGCTTGAACGCTAAAAGCTATTAATTTCTGACTACCAAAGACAGCAGCGATGTATATCAACTTTTTCTTGTACTGGCTGTGAACAGTGCGGATATTTCTATATAAGTGAATTAATCCAAACTCAGACTGCACCGAAGAATCCAAAAAATCTGCAGGGTAAATAGCATTCCTGATCTGAATGCATTTCCCTTTTGAATCAAATTATTGTGTACTACGTAAAAATACACTGTTAAATGTTACACTAGTTGTCCCTACGTCATCTGAAGGAAAATTTCATGCGTCATGTCGAAAGATTAGCAGAAAAGGAGGCAGGAATTATTTTCATTATTTTAGGAACTATAGTAAGATTACTCATGTGATAAAACAATGCATTTTTTGGAAGATATCAGAAAGAGTGCTTGTGACGAAGATTGGAACATGCTGAATCTAAAATTGAAGTTCTGCATAAATTTATCTGAATGGTGTTCTGAATTTCTTACGAATTCTAAAAAGACACTTGTCAATGTTTCAATAACATTAGCTAAAACTCTAAAAGTTAGCACAAATCACACATTTTTATTCAGATTCGTAATTTAATCAAAAACTTCTGCTCTTCAGAGCATTGATACTTTGTAGAGAAATTCAGATTTCGATGACGCACAACATTGGAAATTTTTTAAATCCTACAATTATGAAAAACGATGGATAGTTTGTCACTATATAATGAGTCAAAAGTTATATTATAGTAATGCCCGTAAATGGCGAAGAAGTAAAAGTTATCAACTATCAAATGATGGATTTTTTGGACACAGTGTGGATGGGTTTCCCTAAATTACCGTTTTTTTCCTGATTTTTCAGAACATTGAAGACAAAGAAGAGATCTGTCTGCTATCCTTTGAGCAACTCAAAGCTATCGATGCAAAAACGAAAATATGTATGCTATGGAAGAATTTAGGTCACTCGACTGTGAAGTACGCAAAAAGGTCCTCTAAAAACTTACCGTCGTAAAAACCAAGGTGAGAACGAAGAAGACCCTTCTGCCGTCGAACATCGTCTGTATTGCCAGTCTCGGCGGCAGCTGAAAAAGCCGTCTAAAAGAATGATGACGATAATGGCCCGCAATTGTACACAGACGCCTAGTTTCATTCATGTCCTTGTAGACTTCAGAGCAATGCGGTTCTTGAGAATTAATTCTGGTTCCAATTGCTTCGCAATGACCTAATTTGTCAAACAGTTTACAACAAAACTAGGTGCGTATGCTAGTTTTACTGTAAAGTAGCTGTTTTTACAATTATCATGGTGGTAAAGACTTTTTCGGTGGGGTGGAGGGAGGGGAAGAAGGGGACAAACGATAAACTTTAAATGTTCCTCAAATTCAGCAGAATTTTCCGAGCCTTGTCTGAAAAAAAAGGATAGCCGCGCTTTCGAAAACTACAAAATTACATTAAATTTTCACAAAATTTGTGAAATTAACTTATTTGCTTTTAAACATAAACTCTTCCCAAGTTCTGAACTCCTCATGTAAACCTCTTTTGAAAACTTTGCCAGTTTCAACAGAAGTAATATTCGCCAAATTACAGAATCGTAGTACGTTCCAGGTACATATAGATTACAAGTAGAATGGGTGAGCGGAAATTTTTTTTGCAAAATGAAGTACCTCAACAAGATGATGAGAGAGGTTTGATGCAAAATATTTCTTTGAAACTTGAAATTAACTGCAAAATCTTTCGTTGGAAACAGTCAAATTGAATTTATCGTAATCAAATGCTATTTCAAATTCTCTTAGCTAAATATAGTATTAGATTGTCCCAAAAGTAAACTCCTTTTCTACATAATTGAAACTGTTTTTGTTTTCCTTGCAAACTTAGGGAATCATTAGGTAGAGCAGATCGAGCTCTACAGAATGACCGCCAATAACACGCTTAAGTCCATTCCTTGTAAAATGTGAAGCCAAGATCGAAAAAATTTTGTCACCCGAAAATTGGATTTTTTTTCGAGAAAAAATCCTACGGACTTCTAGCTCAATTATCACATAGTAGACACATAGACTCAATTATGCCTTCAACGAATTTTTGCCGCGCGTAAAAGGCAAAAAAAGATGTCCAAAGTCCAAAAATGGTAAACTCCACCCTCAGCTCCTCCCACATATGTCATTGTGTACTGCAAGCCTTACTATCTTAAGAATAATACCGAAACTATCCCTCTGTATGTGCTCTTATGAGTGAGAAATACCAATTTTACATGAAATACCCGAAAAAAAGTGGCATTTTGGCATTTCTGAACCATCTTTGTTTCTCGATTTTGAACCCGGTAAAAATCAAATACCAATTACCTTTTCGAGTGCTAATGTGCCTACTATATAAAGACCAAGTCGGAAATACGCAGGTATTTTCTAGAAGGAGATCCGATTTTTAGGATAGTGTAAAATTTTGATTTTTGGCCTCAAATTTTATCTGGAATGCGATTAAGGTGAGGCTTTAAAATCGTTGTGTAGAGCTTATACTGCTCTACAGAGTAGTATTCTAAGGTCTGTTAGGAAAACAAAAACAATTCAACTTGATCGAAAAAGGAGTTTACTTTTAGGGCAACCTAATAACTCTCTTTATCTTGACAAAATTTCCTCTCCAAAAATGGGGCATAAAAAATGGTTTTGCTTCATTTACAAGTGATATTTTTGCAGGTTTTATAGAGCAAAATGGAAACTCAATGGAAAAAGTATGTAGGCTGACAACTGCGATAAAATTTCATACGAATATGGGTGCGTAAAACATGTAAGCAAATGGGCATGAATAACTCGAGCACAGGAAAATTGCCAAAAGAAGTAAACGAAAGAATGAGCTAATCTATAAAAGGACAGAGTAGCAATCAGCAAAAACGTTCTTCCATCACCTTATCAGTGAATGACAAAGAAGTGAATGACAAAGAATTTGCAACGGCTTAGGAAGAAAGTAGTAAACATTCATTTATCCGATTTAGCTTTTGATAACATGAAAAGAACGACAAGTCTCCTCGAAACGAGGAGAGAGATGAGTGGAAGAGGTTCATAGGAATTTTTCATCAACAATTACATCATACACAGCAATGGTCTCTAAAATTCGTCCGAATTGTTTATTAGCACTCCACATTTCTTTTCGGTTACTCGAATCGAATAATCCTATATGCAGAAAAATTCTTCGTCTTTTTCTGATAATTCAGGCATAACTGAGAGGCATGCAATTGTTGATGACGTCTGAGTTGTTGGGCAGTAATTTTATTGACAAACTAGTTTCCTATTACCATGAAATATTTTATTTTTCGATTACGTCTTGGTAAACATTGAAATTCTGAGAGGAAACGCGAATGGAATTTTGCCGAACAATTTTCACATTGCTTATTATGGTGATACCTTTGCTAGGCAAAAAAGACCGCTCATAAAAATCAAAATGCTGCACAAATTCTTAAGCTATAGCTTTTCAAATTTTAGTTTGGCGAGAATGATGATGCTCTATAAGAAACATTTACCAAATTCATGTAGAAAAAGGTTTTCTTAGAAGAATTTTCTTTCAACTCTGATGTTAGCTGATTAGGAAAAACGAGTGGCAGATTTTAGTCTATAACTATTGCTAATGATTTTACTATAATCTTTTGGCTCGAAAAAAAAAACTTTCCATATAACCTTTGATTCAAATGGCTTGGCGCTGGAAGGCGGGGCTTTGTTACTTATTATTAGTTAAGGCCGCTCGCGCCCGCGACGCAGTCTGTGTCTCTCCCACGCGCGTACTCTCTGATCATACTCTAGGGGTAGAGGACTATATGTCGCCGAAAAAGGGCGGTCCCCGCGGTCGCGACAAATACGCACCCTTGTACATGCGCCGGCATGCATTCGTGCAGGGAATCCGCGCGGGACTCTTCCAAATTCGGCGACATGTAGTCCTCCACCCATTCTGTAGCCTTCACTAAATCACGAAGCCCAGCCTTCCAACCGCCAATCCAGTTGAATCAAAGAGTATGTACCCTATTTTCAGGTGTATAAGTCGCACCCTTTTCGCTCTAAAGGCTAACACGCAAAAGACTGACTGTCATCATGGAGCGCCTTAGGCCTAAGGCATACCTCGCGCGATTCCGGTCGCTACGCGATTAGGCACAACAGCAACTCTTCGTAATTCGTCGTTATTGTGCTGTCTTTGGTCGGAACTTGCTCCGTTTGCAACAACTTACACAAGCTACCCAAATGTGAGTCCGAGAAGAGCGCACGTTAAATCTTGAAATATGGCAAATCGCCAAGTCGCGTGAAAGTGGCGATTGGCCGAATCGCGTGAGGTATGCTCTAGGCCTTAAGTGAGAGCAGTATGCGATAAGGCGACCGCTTCGCGAGACATATGCGCGGCGGCACGCCTGGGTCTGCTCGCGTTTAGAGCAAAAAGGGTGCGGCTTATACACCTGAAAATAGGGTATAAGGGATGAACAAAATTCAAAGCGCGAAAACCTGCTATCAATAGATTAGCAACTCAGCAAATCAAACAGTAGGAATGCTTTGGGAGAACTGGAGGCACTGAATGTCCAGAGTAAACATATGTATATAGCGAGATGAGCAATGAAGATGCTCTAAAGAACCGAAAGGATTTATGTATTGAGTGGTTATAACATCATATATCATTCAAATTAGAAATGTTTGTACATTTCATTTCGAAAAGAAACGAAAATTTCAAAATACTCTATAATACCTGTTTGTAGGCCGTCTTTCAGGTTCAAAAGAATGTGATGCAATAACGAAGAAGAGGGGCTGGAAAGCAGGAAATGTTCAAATTCATGCCCTGGTATTATTTGATAGTCTGATCAAATGATTTCGTTAGCCCTTGCGGATCGTACAAATGCTTTAGAAAAATTTTTGGGTACTTTTCGTTATCCAAATCCATTTTATCAAAATGTCCTCATGAAATATGTGCTTCAGCCTAGATTTTTTTTCGTAGATTTCTGAACTATTTCTCTGCCACGTGTCAAGACAAAAATTAACACGTTTGGGGATAGTTTGATATGTTTTTTTTCAAAATCATATACGCTGAGGTATGAGAGCATTTCAAATGACTCGAAAACTGTTCAGGGGTCCTTTACAAAAACTTACAGTTTTTAACGTTTGTCAAAACATTTCTGTAACTTTCAGCAATGAAAATAAATCCTGCTCATCACACTGTTTTCGCCATACGAATTTAGCCGCGGAAGAATATAAATTATGGCTTGAAATACTTGGCTGCCGATTGTTTCGTCATAGATGATAGTACAATAGCCCACTTCTCTATTTTAGGAAAACTTTAAGTGTTGATCAAAAACAGAACACAACATTTTCATAATATCAAAACTCATCCATGAAACTTGACAAAAAATGGGGTCATTATTGGATAAAAAACAGATTGAATTTACATTGATGGGCAGGAGAAACAAACCCCTTGGTAAAAAATGTTAAAAACTCAAGTAACATGTCAATTCTTCTTTTTGGCAAGAGGATGACTTTCCATACTGCGAAGTTTTGACCAAATTTGACACAAAAAAGGAAGCAATATTTTTTTGGAAAAAAAAGAGTCCGGATAGCAGAAAAATACCAATTTTTGTCCAGCATTAGTGTCCTTGGAAAGAGCATTACAGTAAGAATTGGCATGTAAATAATGTTTGAGATCCCCTCTGAAAAAGGGCGCAAAGAAATGGAAAACCCAAATTTTCTAAGCTCAAATGGAAAAGTTCTGTTTTTGGAAATGAATTTCAAAAGGAAAGACTTTATACAGGGTGTCCCAAAAAAATGTGAACACTGTTTGATCGTTAATAACTCCGTTGCTTTTATGTCTTTCGCAGAGCTTGAATCACCATTCTGTAGAACGAGGTTCAACTTAGATTTGCGGCATGGAGCGAAGCACCGATCGCTCTTCATTACTGTAGGACTACGGTATGAACTTCTGGCATGTGGATCTATCGAGAAATATGCCATTTGACAAAAAATTTTTCAAAAAATCTGAAAAATCGTGTACTAAGGGTTTCGCGCTGCTAATTCCATAACGCACCTTTTTACGAGTGTTTTTAGCT